TGTGGGTGTGGGTGTGGGTGTGGGTGTGGGTGTGGGTGTGGGTGTGGATTGAAAAAAAGATACTCACGCCCACACCCACACCCACAGCCATCATCGCTCTATCTATACTCACTTCCGCATTTATACCCACCCCACATACATCCTCACCCACATCTTCAAGATTCTCACATAATGACATTTTTATCTTTGTTCCATTTTTGTTTTTCTATAAATATTTTATTAAAAAATATTTCTCATTCAGCAATTATGCCTTTGGCATCATCAAAGGTGACGGGTAAACGCCAAAAATACAACAAATATGTTTGCTAACAACCGCATAGACAGAGAGGACGCTTATCAGTAAAATAAGGACCATAATGATCAAAAAACCAAAAATAACTACCATTATGACCATAATAAGGATGACTATGACGACATGCTCCATTAGGACGACGATGCCAATGCTTCGCATCATTGATGTCTTTAGATTCGCCACGCTCGCAACGCTCCATATCATCCTTGATATTCCCATCATAATACCAATCAGTGCAATATCCACAACGAGGACAAGCATTGCCATAACATAATTGTGCTATTGCTGGAAACATAGGTGTTGTAGTGCTTGATGCCATTTCTAGAAAGAAGTATTTAATTTTTAGAGTTCATTTCAATGAAATTACTGATGTATCTGTTATGGAAGATGATTATACCATTATCATATTAAAAAAGTCTCTTGGAAAATATTTTGTCATCGTCATATTCTACTCGTTCATCTGCTCGATCTCAATAAGTTGGGAAAAGGGCAACATAGTAGTATATTCCTGCTGATCACTTACTGGCTGCAGACTCTTAAATCTTTATTATAATCCAAAAAGTCTGATTAACGGCGTTAAGTAGCTATATTTTCATACTTATCTGAAAGGATCCTAAAGAAAAGACTATGCATGTAAACCCTTCATATAATCAACGTTAATTATCAAATTGATTGTACTTTTCAATTCTTTGAGTAATAATTCATTAAAAATTTCCTCAGCATTTCGAAGTTTCAAATAAGGAATGAGAGAAGATAATAGTTGATAACATTTTAGTGAAAGCGTAAACAAGATGATCGTTAAATTCTAATATTAATTTGTCTATAACAATCATATGGTTATCGGCTCTGCCTCAAAATACTAAGTATCTAGAAAAAAATAAATGAACTGTTCGAAATATGTTAGAAAATCTATACAGTTGGAAGACATCCATGAACACACGATTGACTAAATGTATGTATATTTGATGAAACAGAAACTTCGACAGCGAAAGCTTGGTAATTCTCAAATGAGGAGGTGCAACTTACGTTAGTCTATTGGGTAATGAAAGTTCTGAAAATATTTTGCGTCATCATTGCGAAAAACTTATTTTAATTACATACGAAACGTATATAATAAATTGAAAATGCTTAACGATTATCGACGCATATATACACGTCAAAATAAACATTATGGTCCTGCACTAACAGAAGATCCATCTACTGCGTCTTAAGATTCATATCGAATGTTTCTCGCTATCATAATTCATACTCAGTGTGGATCTACTTTTTAAAAAATACCTTTGAACTGATTAGTTTTAAAAAAATTTAACCGTTAAGGAGTTAAGTAAGTGATAAATGAAAGTTTCAGGGCCAAATTGAATTGTATAGAGATGAATCAAAGCGGAATTATCTTGACTGAGACCGTCGAATGGATTCTTTGAATTTTTTTCTATTCCATCGAATAAATTAGAGATTGGTTCGGCTGATTCCTCAAGTGAAACTAATGGTTTAACGTGATAACTACTTATAGTGATGAGTAAGCCAGTAACAGATTCATCATGAAAATCTGTATAACGACAAACGGCAAGATTTGGTGTATGAGTCGCTACCAGAATATCACGTATTATTCTACAAAACTTGAATGAAATAAGGTGAAGTGATGTTGTCTTACTGATACTTTTGTAGTGTTAAAAAAAACCAAAAGACAAATACTACTATGATAGTGGTCTTTATATTCCGTTTACAAGCGCTGAGAAAAATAAAACAACAAGAATTGCTCAAGAAGATGAAAGGTGCTTTGTGTCAACATAAAATTGATAACGACTTATAAACGATGGTGTGACGTGTATTACATTTCATCAGGTAGATAAAATGCAAAACAAGACTACTAGATTCTATGTAATACTGATCGTTGCTCTTCGCGCCCACAAAAAAGTGGGAAAAAATTGTTGTTTAAGATTTCATGACAGAAGTGTTTTTGGTCATTCACAATCTCATAGTAATATATCCTCTTACACTAAAGCTCATTAATCAAGTACGACGACATAAGTTTCATCACATTGAGAGTTACAAGTTTGTGGGTGTGAGTGCATCATCTTCATATGATTATTACCCACACCCACACATGGGTATCATTATGTTCATTTTCAGATCTTCTACATAATTATGATTTATAGTTTCAAAATTACTTTGTGTCAAAATAGCTTATTTAATAATCATTAGATTTATAGTAAGTTAAAACTTTTCATGAACGAACGTTCTTTTTATTTGAAGAAAAAAATTGATGATCAATCTCTGATTAAGTATATAAAAACTGCTTATATTTATGAAAGCAACAATCGATTGATAAATATAATTTCACTTCACTTCTCTTGCAGAAATCATCTCCAACATCAAGAGTAAATGAAACACAGTTTATTGAACAATTGAGGATATTTTTAAATGAATAAGGAAAAAATATCTCTGTGGAATATAATCATAATCTGAATTCTAGTTGTTGTTCTGGTAATATTATTTCCATTCAACTTATGTGTAAATGTCAAGATGATTGTAATGAAGTGAACATGGTTGAGAACAACTCATCAGCAGTGAGTATATCTTATGAGGTGAGTATCTTGCTTTTATTTAAAAAAAAAAGACCGAAGTACAATTACATTGAAGTTTTAATTAGAACTGATACAAAAGTAGTGTTTTGAATCATTGAAATTTTAAAAAATGATTACATATTAGTTCATTTTTGTATAGCATACAGATATTGTAATAGCAAATGATCATGCTATTCAATATGAAGAAGGTGTGCAATCAAATGATTATTCTATTGAATATGAAGTCACTACTACACGTTCGGTTAATACATAATTCCAATTGATTTTGTCGCCAATATCATTGGTAAATTATAATAAAAAAAACGAAAAGCATAATTTTTTTTCTAGTCATCACCAGAAACCTCTCTGGAAAGAAAGGTTTTGACTTCAACACCAAAAACAATTGGTAAATTGAATATTGTAGCACCTTCAGTCTTGAAAGAGAAAGTAAGAATGTTAAGCACACCTGCCACGTCAGTACCAAGCGAAAGCTGCTCCAACATTTCGTCCTTTCTAGGTAGGACAGAACGTGCAGCTCCCAGTGGTGGTAATCACTCCTTATGTGTATTCTTAAAAGTCACAATAAGTTTCTGAAATCAAAATGTTTTTAACTGTTCTGTTATTATTATTATTATTTTTCTTATTCTGAATGCAACCATCTTGAGGGTGGGTGTGGGTGTAAAGAGAATAGATCACCCACACCCTGTTTTTTTTGACCCCGACACGGACAAACAAACATGCATACAAACTATTTTTTTCATATAATCCTTTTTTCAGTCGAGAGAATATATTAAAAAAGTTGGCAAGAAACTAACTTTTCAAAAAGAACATCTAATTTACAATATCCATCACAAACCAATAAAACTTCTCTATCATTTTTATTTGAATAAGATAGAATACTTCGTGCCATAGCACCTATCTCATCTCGGATTTCTTGACGAGTGAGAGGTCCACGTATGGCTATCTGAGAAGACGAGGAACAATATTATTACAATTACTATGAACATTAAATAAAATATTGTAGTTACTTTTCTGTTTGTTGTATCAATTGGTTCACATATATTTGATGAAGAAGTATGCTGTTGTTGAGATAATAAACACGATGAACTCTAAAAAATTTATGAATAAAAGTATTATTTTAATACTAAAAATAAATTTATTAGTTATGTTTTTATTTATTAAATCCATTTGTTCAGATGAATTAATTGAAGACATTTGATGCTGAGTTGTTGATTGATGTGGGTGTGGGTGTCGAAGTCTCTTTTTTGAGCTAGAACAGCAAGAACACTCACAATCAACCACCCCAGACTCACACCCACACAATAGGGTGGGTATTACGTAAAGAAATAGTTACTGGCAATAAACTCCTGATGATGCATGAGGCAGATGCTAATTTGATGAGACTCGGCTTTTATCAACCTGGTAAAAATGATGCGTTGATTTTATCAAAAATTACTAATTTTGTTGCCATGAATAAGATATTCAACTTTTTTGCATAGGTAGAGAGTAACCTATTGTTTTCAATTGTTCTCTTATATAGTCACTCAGATGATATTTAAGGTAGTTGATTTAATTCATTGATTGAGAAGTGAGTAACATTCGATTATCATTAGTTGATACAAATTGTTATTGAAAATATTCGAAGAAAAATCTTATAAGTTTGATTTTATAAATGACTCGAATACACGGTCTTTTTCTTTTCCATAACTCTGATAGATTTATCTTTTCTTCATATATCAACTTTTAGACTTCTTTATGAGATAAAAATGTTGATTTAGGTTCAGAACTTAACGAGAAAAGAAGAAATAAAGATAATTGCTCTTAAATTGTTTTCATTTTGTGTTTGTGGATCTTCATTTCTTTCGTATCCAATTATACAAGTCTTAATTCTAAATTTTTAGTATAGTAAAGATTGTTGAGTGTTAACAGGGAAAACCAGATTTTTTCAGAATTAAAATCACGAAAGTTTTCGAGATGAAAGTGTATATCTTAGTCAAAGAGACAAAATTTTCAAAATCGAAGTTAAACTTTGAAAAAAAGTTGGCTTTGAGAACCTTGCTTTGATATTAATACATGTACATTGATATTTCTTGATTTAGGACAAGGTGGAACGGTTTCAAATCGTTCACTATTATGTAAAGCATCCGATGGTTTTTCAGATTCATCCAGAACGGCAGGAATGTACGATTTTTCAATCAAAAATGTTCGTTTATCATTATTAGGTACATGCATGGGTAGTTCTCTTCATTTACTTCTAGCTCGATATTCATCGTATAAAATATCTGATGGGTGTGACAACAGATTTCTGTACCATTTTGTAGAAAATTATTCAAGATCTTACGATGTCTTCAAAAAGTCAAATCGATTATTACCTGCAATACAACAAATATTCGTTGTTATTCATTTAATTGGAAAAATTTTATACGTCTTTGTGGATTCTCTGCGTAATGATGAGTCGCAAAGATTTTATGTAACAAAAGGAAAATATTATATTGCCGAAGGACAAAGATTGTTTCAAGAGTAACAACAACCACATCTTCAGTAGTTTTATTCCAAAAGGGCAGAAATATTCCCCAGGCTTTATGCGAATATGCAACGTCTTTTAGACGCAATGCTTGTTTTATTTGAAATGAGAAAAAATGAAGATTTACACATTGCTTAAGTTATTTATCTGACATTTATTGCAAACGGGTGGGTGTGGGTGAGTGTTTTCTCCTCGTTCATTATCGATACACACACGCACACCCTTACAAGCAAATAAATTAAAATTAATCGAGAATATGGTGAAGTTGTTATTGGTTTTAAAACACAAGAGCGACTACAACATGCAACAAAAATAATGAAAATTAATTATTTTTCGAAACAAAGTTACAATGATAGATGGCAATAAGAAGGAAAAATTAATTGTATATATAAAAATTTTTTACTGAACGAAATAAACAACCAACCACAAGGCAACAAATAAACAACATTAATTATTCTAATTAATTCATAAAAAGTAAAAATTACTTATATATCAAGTAAATCAAATAAAGAATTTTCATTGGTCATTGTAATACTTCATTGGTCTAGTCTTCGCCTGATCCAATATTATATGTATACAAAGACAATATGTTAATATATATGATTAAGTGCATATATTTATCGTGATTATATACACTTATATGAACAATTATTTGGTTTAAAATTATTCCCGAAAATATGATGAAGGGGTATGGATGTGGGTCTCAGAGATAGGACCGGTACCGGTCCGAACTTTAGACCGGTACTTTCCGATCTACCGGTAAGAAACCGGTAGACCGGCCGATCCGGTCTAAACGTTTTCGACCGGTACCGGTACCGGTCGTCAAAAAACCGGGCCGGTTCCATCTCTGGTAGGTGTAGGTGTGGGTGTGAGAGGCATACATAGAGAATACACCCACACCTACATCCTCATCCTCACCCACACTCACACCCACATCCACACCCTCGACATTTTTAACGTTTGACATTTTTTTCCGGTGTTATTAGGTTTAACCACACCCACACACACTCTCTTTTTGTAAGCGAAGTGCGCCAATGATCATACATTCTAAATCCGATGAATACTATCGAAACAATTAAATATTATGAAAAATTACAGTGTGAAACTAACGAAGAATTTGAAAGGACAATTAAAGTTATCGTATCAACTGTAAGTTGTATTAATCATAATAAATTAATCAGCAAGAGTAAAAAAAACAAAAATATACTTTTTTTATTTGGGATCGAATATTTAAAAGTGTGATAATCCAGTAGAAATATGGAAGGAAATACTTCGTGGATGTCGTAAAATGATAATTCTTCTAACGAAAGTATTGTTTGGAATTTGAATTACTTGTTTGTTTAAAATAATTAATATAATTCTGCACTATCTAAAGCAATATGACCATTGTATCCACCAGTAACTAGTACTTTTCCATTTGACAATACAGATGCTGTATGATAATCTCGTGCATTATTCGTCTTACCAGTAGTTGTCCAAGTATCTGTTGATGGATCATACAATTCAGCACTATTTAAATAAAAATAGCCATTCCATCCATTAGTAACCAATACTTTTCCATTTGATAATACAGATGCCGTGTGAAAAGATCGTGCATTAATCATGTTACTTGTAGCTGTCCAAGTACCTGTTGATGGATCATACAGCTCAGCAGTATTTAAATAAGGAAAAGCATTGTTTCCACCTGTAACTAATACTATTCCATTAGACAATACAGATGCCGTGTGATATTCTCGTCTATTCGTCATGTTACCAGTAGTTATCCAAATGCCTGCTGATGGATCATACAATTCAGCACTATTTAAATAAGCACCACGAGTCCCTCCACCAGTGACTAATACTTTTCCACTTGAAAATACAGATGATGTGTGCTTATGTCGTATACTAGTCATGTTACTAGTAGTTGTCCAAATACCTGTTGTTGGATTATACAATTCAGCACTATTTAAATAAGCACCACGAGACTCTCCGCCGGTAACTAATACTAGTCCATCGGATAATAAAGATGCTGTGTGAAAAGATCGTGCATTATTCATGTTACCAGTAGTTGTCCAAGTACCTGCTGATGGATCATATAATTCAGTATTATTTAAATAACCATTATCGTATCCACCAGTAACTAATACTTTTTCATTTGACAATACAGATGCTGTGTGATGAAATCGTGCAACACTCATATTGCTAGTAGTTGTCCAAATACCTGTTGATGGATCATACAGCTCAGCACTATTTAACATACCGCTATTGCCTAATCCACCAGTAACTAATACTTTTCCATTTGATAATACAGATGCTGTGTGCAAATATCGTGCATTATTCATATTACCGGTAACAGACCATTCTAGACAGAAACATAGGATTGTATTCATTCTCATCGTTTCTTACTTTTGATACAGATTTTTTCGAACTTTTTGGAAAATGCAAAAAGTCTCAAAGTTGTTGTAAAAAATCATTCTTGACACGGTACAAAAGTAAGTTTCGCTTTTTTAATAAAGTATCGTATGCGAGGATGACATATGAAATAAGTTTGTATTTTATGCTAGTCGTTACAATGTTTATAAGAATTAATGCACTTTTCATTATACACAGCTTCTATTGATGATAGACACTTAATGAAACTTCTTAAGTAAAGGAAAAGCGGTCGAATTTGCAAAATTTTCGGCGAATTTCCATAGTGAGATCAAAAAGCGGTTTTTCTTTTTTTTCCGGTTCGTTTCTTACGAATTTTTGCAATTGGAAATGGTGTCCAGATACAGTCGCGTTTACAACACCGTTTCAGACTAAGGAATGCAATGATTTATTATGATCGGCGAATATAGACTGCATCCAATCGTGCCTGAAACCTGGACTCTGACTTATCCAGGGAGCAGAAGAATGAATCAGCGGTAACAGACTAACAAATATATAATATGCAAATAAAGCTACTTATATTTACACACGAAAGAGAAAGAACGACAATTGACTGGTATTTCCCCGCGCAAAAATGCCGTGCGCAATAGATATGCGTATGCTTCTTTTATGTTCTCTTTTTATTTAAAAGTAGAATATATAGTGATATCAAACGAAGTGAAAAGGTAGATTTCGTTGCATAGATGTCGACAAAACCATGTGAACTTTAATCGTAATGAAAACGAGCGCATGTGGAGATTATTGCATCTCCGTTTCTTCTTAAGTTAACGACTGAATCACTCATAACAAGATTACTGTTCTTTTGAAACTTTTAGTTAAATATACAAAACTGTTGGATGGAAAGCTGCTACTTACATCTGATTTAAAAGTACTATTTAAGGAGACCAGAAAACGTTATTCTGAAGCTTACCTGGCTGCTGAGTTGTGGTCGTAGTTGTTGTTTGTGGCGATAATGATGTTGCGGTGGTGCTACTAGTTTCTAATTTCTCCGGTGCAAAAACGACGAAGTTTAACAATAGAGCAAGTATAACAGCAAAAACTATTAAAACAATAACAAAAATGCCGATTATTTTGAACCAACGGTGGTGCCACCATTTGTGTGGTGCATTATTTGCAGTAACACGCTCTCTGTAAACTTGATTGGTATGCATATTATGTTTCAGATGAAACTCAAGCGCAAAAAAAAACACACACTATTGTTCGAAGCTACTTTCTGTTTGTCTATTACTCTCACGTCAGTAGCAGAAGATAAATAATATTATCTCCAACATCAAAGGTATTGTTATACTCTTATCTTAATATTATTTTTTTCATTCCATCTACATCATAGTCCAAGGTCTACCTTTTTTACAAGGAGAGTGTGGGTGTGGGTTTGTATTACAGATATCAGACCCACACGCACACTCACACCCACCCAAATTCTAACAAAATTCATTTCATATTTACTCACTTCAATTATTTTTACATCTGTACGGCGTTTCGAAAAGCAATCATAACGAGAATGAAAAAGAAAACGAATAGTGAATTGAGGGTGTGGGTGTGAATGCGAAAAATCTATTTGTGTACCCACCCACATCCATACTCACTTTGTTTTCGTGACTAATGTATTACAGTCTTTTGCGTTCGGCATTTGTTTACAGAGCATTTGTTGAATGTGTAAAATCATGACGCCAAGGTGATTAATAATAAAACTTACTTTCGATTTCTTTCTGCTACTGATGCAATGTATAAGAAACTGAATTAAATTTATTTTCATTTCACAAGAATGGTGTAACATCATTCACGAAACCAAACTTCTAATTAAACCTATTTAAAAAGGTAGTAAATCGTCTTTTTTACTCATTTTTTGAATTCTCAGTAGAGAAATCATTTGTGAATAGAAATGGCGTTTACGACGTTAAGTGTTGTTGACTATGTTTTATTGATTCTATTACTACTGTTATCGACTCTTATCGGTATTATATTCGGCTTTATGAAATCGAAAAAAAGTTCAGCTCGAGAATATCTCTTGGGTAAGTAGCAAAGCCGTTCAATATTTATGTATCTTTGTTCCTTTGTTTTCTTTAGCTAATGGCGAGATGGGTGTCATATCGACAGCATTGAGTCTCACTGTTTCGTTCGTATCCGCCATTTCTGTGCTGGGTATGCCTAGTGAGATCTACATGCATGGAACAATGTTTTTGTATCAAAGTGAGTACTAAAGAAAGATTGCCGTTCGTATTAGTGATATTGAATATATATTTATAGTTATAGCATGGATAATTGGATTAACACTATCAGCTCTAGTATTTATGCCTAAATTTCGTGAATTAAACTATACAAGTATCTTTGAAGTATGACATAGTTATTCAAAAATGATTAATGGTAAACATATTGAATGCTTAAGTATTTAGAGAAACGCTTCGATAGAACAGTTCGCTTGTGTGTCTCCTTCTTATTCACAATATATATGGTAAGTGTATATTCGTTGTGTTAAGTAGGATGCATTTATTATCATAGGTAATCTACATGGCCATTGTGCTGTATGCGCCGGCTTTAGCACTTAGTCAAAGTAAATTGAGTGAACAAGCACATTTTTCCTTAAGTCAATTTGACTTCTTCTAGCTACTGGACTAAATATTTGGTTATCAGTTATCTCGATTGGTGTTATTTGTACCTTTTACTCTTCGATAGTAAGTGTATTAATTATTTCTTATGTTAAAGAATTCTATGAATACTAATATTGTGTAGGGTGGTATAAAAGCTATCATTTGGACAGATGTTTTGCAATTCACTTTTATACTGGTTGGTCTTCTTCCTGCTACTATACAAGGCATGTAAAACTAAAATATATTTCCAATTAAATTGAAATCTTTTGACAGGTCTAATGCAACTGGGTGGTTTGAAACAAACATTCTTAATTGCTTCTCGTGGTAGTCGTATTGAATTCGATGAGTAAGTTCACTCGATTTATGCCAATATAATTATGTTTTTTTGATTGAGTAGTGTAAGCTTCGATCCACGTACCCGCCATACAGTCTGGACGCTAATCATTGGCTGCTCATTTAATATTTTAGCTGAATACAGCTTCAACCAAGCACTAGTGCAACGATATCTCTGTGTTCGTTCAGTGCGAGCTGCTCGACAAGTAATTCTCATTAATGGTATCGGTATCATTATTTTTATTCTTCTCTTGAGTCTTACGGGTCTCGTTATATATGCATTCTATGCCAACTGTGATCCATACACGGCTGGATTTGTAAGCAGTTCAGATCAATTATTTCCATACTTCGTTATGGAAGTATTGAGCAATACGGTAGGCTTACGTGGTATTTTCCTTGCCTGCATCTTCTCAGCTTCATTATCGACGATTTCATCTGGACTGAATAGTCTCGCTGCAGTGTTCATCGAAGATGTATATCAAGGATTGATGCGACGACGATTGAACGATGAACAGCTAGGGAGAGTATCGAAAATTTATTCAGCCATACTTGGTGCTGTTGTAATACTGCTTTCCTTCGCAGTAAGCTACTTGGGTTCAGTACTCAATGCTGCATTGTCGTTGGGAGGAGTCTTTGCTGGTCCTATTATGGGTGTGTTCTTTCTTGGTTTCTTCTTTCCACGAGTACAACGACGGAGCGCCTTAGTTGGACTTTTAAGCGGTTTGGGATTACAGTTATGGATCTTTTTAGGTGCCCAGATGACAAAAAATCGAGGACAGAGTGGACGATTACCATTGTCAGTAACTAACTGCTCGAAATTTAATACCACTACACTACCATTAGCCAGTATGACTACCATCAGTTATGCGAACGAGTAAGTACAATAAGCTTTTTTTTTTCATATAAAAAAGAGCGCTATCCTTAGATTTAATCCACTATTGGAATTATACTCTGTGAGCTATTTGTGGTATATGCCAGTCGCCGTCTTCACTGTAATAGTCGTTGGTCTCATTGTCAACTCTTTCACGTGTTTCCACCAGTCACAGGAAGTCGATCCTAAATTGATAATTCGTTTTTGTCGGCAAAAACGACAGGAAGAACCGAGTCGTCTCGACAAAGTATGTTTCTGATTTCTTTATTTTGAATATTTACTATTGAAATTTTGTAGAAAAACACTGAAATGGAATTAATGGAAGGTCCATCAAGCAGCGACACATTTCTGTAGTTGTTCGCTTGAAAGTAATCTTGAAAAAGACAGAATTTCAGTTTTTTTTTAAACACGAAATAATAATATAAGAAAGTCTATAACTTTTACGGAAATTGGTTCAATTAAGTATTAATGATTTGATCGTACAGAAGCATCTTAAGGGTGTGGTTGTGGGCGTGGATGGGTGAGTGGGTGTAGGTATGGATGTGAGTGTGAAGGAAATATAGAGAAAGGACACCCACATCAACACCTTCAAACACTCACGCACAGCGACACCCACACCCTGACTATGGTGAAAAATCGGTGCATAATGGTTTTTATTATTTTTCATGTAATATTTTTTGTACCATGTCCTGTAGTTCTATTTTTATGTTGTTGTTATTTTCAATCTAGTCAGTTTTTTGTAAAATTTTCTGATGAAGTCAAGTATTAAACTTGACTGAAACTAGTCAAATAAATTTAAGTAAAAAAACTTATTATCTTTAACTCAATAGTTTTTATCTTGAGCGACTTTAAGAAAATAAGGTTATATCTTTAATAGTTGAGAATAACAAATTACTCTTTTTTCTCTATTTTAAATATCTTATCTATCTTGAAAATAAATTTATACACGCAATATTGTATTAAAAATATAACATCGAAAAGCACTCCTTCTATGAGAAAGAGCTGAGCGAGTCTGTTGACGAGCGCTACTTGTGGTTACAAAAGATTTTTTTTCCTTCTTTGTATCAATATAAAATGTTATTGACGGCAGACTGAAAAATATGAGAACAGAATATTTTTTCCAACATTTTTGTGGCGCTTCATTGCGTATACTGATTTTTTTCTACGCGTTCTTGTTTCGCTTTACTTCCTTTCATACACTGATTTTTTTGTACACGTTTTTATTTCGTTTCACTTCCTTTCATACATTGATTGTTTTTCTACACGTTTTTTCTTCTACCTATTCTTTTTACAGTCTGTTGCTTCCGATGATGTTTTTTTTTCAAGTCGTCCATCATAGCGTCTTTTTCATCAGTAGGTACATAGGTAATAATGAATGATCGTTACACTTCGTTTATTTTCTCTTGAAGACTTCTTTGTTAATATTGACTTAGACGATGAGATAGACATGAGTATAGTGATGAAGTAACTCAATAC